TCCTTTCCTTTCCTTTCCTTTCCTTTCCTTTCCTTTCCTTTCCTTTCTTTTCCTTTCCTTTCCTTTCCTCTTTTTTTCTTGCCATGCGATTGTAAGTAACGCTTGCCTTAAGAATCTCATTATTTGAACACGGAGCCATATTTCCTCTGAGAATTCTGGAGTAGCTCTGAGCTGGGGCTGTTCATTTCTCAAGTAATCATGCTGGCATGATGGAGAGAAAAAATGGCAGCTGTTCGCAGCTCAGGCCTTCAATTTTCTTCAGAGTCCAGTCACTCAAGTGTGTAATTACATGGGGTGCTGGAGAGGCGTTAGGCCTTGTCAAAGAACACGTCAGAGGCCTTCGCACACCGCCTTTGCCGATCGGGGCAGGCTGAAAGCTGGGGAATGCTGCTGCACGCCTTGTGTTTTTTGGGGTTTGTGAGTGTGTTGGTGAATCCTTCTTGCCAGGATGGGGTTTTAAACTGCTTTTCCATTTTGGGGTGGTCCATCTCTACAGTCCTTCTGAGGGCTTTCAAGGAAGAACCATTTTCTGCAAGGCTGATGGAAGAGTTGCTACAGATTGAATCCAGAGTAAACTTCTATTGGAGTGACTTACAGGTAGTCCTCGACTTATGGCCATGCTTGAGTCCCAAATTTCCATTGCTAAACAAGACCATTGTTAAGTGAGTTTTGCCCCACTTTATGACCTTCCTTGCCACCGTTGTTAAGTAAATCACAGCAGTTGTTAAATTAGTAACACGGTTGTTAAGTGAATCTGGCTTCCCCTTTGACTTTACTAGTCAGAAGGTCGCAAAATGGGATCACATGACCCCGGGACGCTGCAACCGTCATAAATATGAGTCAGTTGCCAATTTTGATCACATGACCACAGGGATGTTGCGCCAATTATAAATGTGAAAAATGGTCATAGGTCCCCTTTTTCAGTGTCGTCGTAACTTTGAATGGTCACTAAATGAATAGTTGCAAGTCGAGGCCTACCTGTAATACATATGTAGAAACTCGGGTCGGTGTTTAAATTAGTATATTTTTCCACAAATTTGACTTTTCTGTTCTGGTTTTTGTATCAATAGCAGTGGTGGGATTCATTTTTTTTTTACTACCAGTTCTATGGGTGTGGCTTGGTGGGTGTGGCTTGGTGGGTGTGGCTTGGTGGGTGTGGCTTGGTGGACGTGGCTAATGAAGGAGACTGCAAAATTCCATTCCCTCCCCACTCCTGGGGGAAGGTTACTACAAAATCCCCACCCCACTAACCTGCTTTCCAGCTCCATTCTCCTGTGCAGGGCAACCAAAGGAGACCCAGCCGATCAGCTGGGACTCAATGGGAGGCAGAGAATAGATGGGGGCGGGGCCAGTCAGAGGTGGGATTTGCCGGTTCTCCGAACTACTCAAAATTTCCGCTACCGGTTCTCCAGAACTGGTCAGAACCTGCTGAATACCCACCCTCTGATCAATAGGTTATAGATTATAATACTTAATTCGTGGGGGAGACTATATTTTGAAAAGTAGGCCTCGCTTGGATGCTGAGCCTGTAAATCAAGGATTTCTTTGCTTTCTTGACAGGATCAGCTGTGTGGCCGAGATCCAACCCTGACCGATGAGCTGATCAACATTCTGACGGAGCTGACCCAGTTGAGTAAGACCACCAATGCCAGAGTGGCCTTACGAGCCCGCCAGGTAACGGATAGATAAGAGTGAATGTCTGTGGAGATTCTCAGTCATCCAGGTCATGGTTGTCCCAAGGGTGCTTTTCTCATGAGGCAACTGGAATTTCTTTGTTTTTTTCATTTTGAAGATGTTTCACTTCCCATCCAAGAAGCTTCTCCAGCGCTGACTGGATGGTGAGGAATGTGGAAGGGTTTATATTCCTTGCAGGCAGCTGGTCATTTAGCTATGAACTTTGGGGTGAACGTCCTTCGAATGGGGCGGGGATATGAATGGATTTCCAGAAAAATTGCGGACTACAGGAACCATTTTGTGCTTCGGTTTGAGATGCAGACAACACAGGCTCATCCCCAACAGCCGGCGCCTGCCTTCAACAGGGAAGGGACACAAGGCAGAGAAAAACATCCTGCAGAAAGCACAGCTCCACAACACGGTCCTTTCAGCAGTTCCGAGAAGGCTCCACACCCATTTGCACTACTCAGTTGCCCCCGAGGACACAGATAAACCTCCAAGTGGCCTCAGTAACTCTCCAAAAGGATGCAAATGACCAGCTCTCTGCAAGGAATATAAATCCTTCCATTCCCCACTATCCAGTCAGAGCCCAAGCAGCTTCTTGGATGAGAAGCAAAATGTCTTCAAGGAAAAACAAAGAATACTCAGTTGCCTCCTGAAAAAGTATCTTTGGGTTAGATAAGGGCGACTTCTATCAATATCAAGGCAACCTTAGGTCAGCTTATCCTGCTTATCTTATCTCTTTGGTTGGCTCTCTTATCTCAACTGCCCTCATCATTCTTCGGCGCACTGTTCCCTTCAGTCAGGGATAGGCAGCCTGATGCTTTTGAAAGTTTAAGAATACAACTTTCATCTGGCATATCAGAATCAAAGAATTAACCAGGAGTCAGCACGGAGAGTTAAGCCAGGAATCAGAGTCAAAAAAGTGTTTGACTCAGCTGTTCATAGAAGAGAATATGTGTAGCTCAAGGTTGAACTATGGAGTCCAATATGATATTACCATCATCAGAAATACTAAAAATTAGGGCAGCACGTCTCTCCAGATTCAAAGACAAAAACAGTACTCAAATGTGGAATCCTTGGGGCTTGGTTATTTTCTTGCAGACCCTTTATTACCCAGCTAGGTAACTTCAACAGTGTTAGTGGGAGTGAGATTTGCTCTCAGCAGTATATCACAGATCTCCTGAAATTAGCAATAGCAATAGCACTTATATACTGCTTTATAGTGCTTTACAGCCCTCTCTAAGCGATTACAGAGTCAGCGTATTGCCCCCAATAATCTGGATCCTCATTTTACCCATCTTGGAAAGATGGAAGGCTGAGTCGACCTTGAGCCTGGTGGGATTTGAACTGCCAAATGGCATGCAGTCAGCAGAAGTAGCCTGCAGTACTGCACTCTAAACACTACGCCATCTTCTTCACTAGACTTGGCACAAATTGACATGACTCCCACCTACCAGATGAGAATACAGGTAGTCCTCAACTTATGGCCACCATGGTATCCCAAATTTCTGTTGCAAAGCGAGACAGCAGTTAAGTGTGTTTCTCTTTTTTTTTTAACTTTGAATGAATGGTTGTAAGTCAACTCTTGTCACATCCCTTCTCCTGATTTTCCCATTGGTTGCTTGTGGCTCCATAGCCTGGTGGCCTGATGACCTTAAGCTAGGACAGTATGAAAAAAAACGTCTCATTCCTCGTGTGTCCAATCAATAAAGAATTCTATTCTATTCATGGTCAGGAGCATCTCATGAAGAGATTTAATTGCTCAACTTCCCCCTTGTTTCTCCGGGGCAGTGTCCTATTTCGCCCAGTGTCATTTGCTGGTGCCCATCTGGCAACCTGTGTGCCCCAAGGTTGGACTGAAAGACATACCCATGTTTCCCCAAAAATACAACCTACCCTAAAGTAAGTCCTAGCTTGATTTTTACATGTGCTTCCAATTTAAGCCCTACCCCCCAAAATAAGCCCCAATTAAGACCCTGCTCACTCCAGGGTCTACTGGTAAAAATTAAGCTACGGTAGGGACGGGGAGGGGTGGAGCTGCCCTACTACTTACTTTTGGACAGTTATAGCCAGGCCTCGCATACTCGGACATCTGCCTTGCCGGCCCATTTCTTCTGCAGGCCGGCAAGGCTTTCCGGATCAATCCAGAGCCTTGCCAGCCTTAGAAGAAGAAGTCCCTGAAGGCCTCTGACGGTGAAAAGGAGGCCGGGAGGGACGCGCGCAAGTGAGGTGTGTCAGTGAGGGACGACATCCCCTGAAAATAAGACCTGGTGCCTTTTTTGTGTGGCAAAAATAATATAAGATAGGGTCTTATTTTTGGGGGAAACACAGGTAGTACAAATCACAGGAGCAAAAGACAAAATATACTGCTTCGACTTCGGCAAGAAAAGCCCAACGCACTGTGTAAAAAGAAACGGCGGCCTCTGTTAATGGCTCTCCCCGGGGCGGTTGAATTTTTCCTTCCTTTTCTGGATTCAAATAAAACCTCAATTTGTGGGTTTTTTTTTTCCCCTGCTCCTTTCTTTAAGTTCCCCATTTCGCATTCCAATTTAAATGCCAGCTCTATACCTGGAGAGCTCTCTGCTGCTAGGGACTTTTCTGTATAATTAAAATAGCGTGGATGTGGGGAAAGAGATGCATCTAATTGTCTCTCAATAATTCTATGCCGATGGAAGCTCCTTTTTCTAAAAAAAAATATATATATATCCCATTGTTTTAGAAATCAGAAAGCCGGGGAAGAAAAGAAGGAAAGAAAAAGAAAAGGAGGGAAACATGCATTTTGGTGTTTGTTTTTTGTAGTCCCAATGTAGTCAGTCCTTGACTTATGACAGTTCATTTAGTGACCGTTTGAAGGTACAACGGCACTGAAAAAAGTGATTTATGACCATGCCAACATGGTCCCAAGATCAAAATTCAGATGCCTGGCAACTGACTGATATTTACGACGGTTGCAACAGAAATTTACAACAGAACTTTTGGGATTCGATTAGGGTCGTAAGTCTAGGACTACCTGTAATTAGAGACTGAAGAAATGAGGCAGATACCTGGATCTTTGTATAATGTCTCTGAGGTAGGATAATTTGAGCCTGGTTATTTGCATTCATGGGATGATTTGTTTGAAAACCCATTTGTTTTCTTTCTTGCCTACCCAAGGAGTCTTCTCCAATGCTAAAGTTCAAAAGCATCAATACTTTTTCGATATTGCTTCTTCAAAAGTCCAACTTTTGGATTGGGAAGCTGGGCTTGTTCTGACCTAGCCTTCCCCAAAATGCGTTAAGCAGACTCTTTGTCCCGGCAAAACCCCTTTTATTAAACGAAGGTGAATTGCTTGCATTCACATTCAGCCAAAGGCCTGGCAAACAGCCTTTCAAGGGTATCATTAGGAGCACAGACCTTATCTAGCTTGGAGAGCTGCCAAGTAAATATTTTCAAACGCGGTGCTGACAAGGAAGGACTCAGCACAGAATCTCTCAGATGCACAGACAGATCTTCATACTGCTGCAACGCACGAATTGTTTCCTGCAAAAAGCCCCTTCCCCTTTTGCTCCTCTTTTAATCGCTATGGGAGGGGCCATTCACCGTCCACCTGTGGCTTTACTCCTACGTCAACCCTTAGTTCATAATTGTTCTTTTTTGGGGGGGCAGTTCTGCACATGTGCAGGCTGGGAACTGGCTCCAGCTGCTCCCCTGCCTCGCTGCTGTACAACTCTGAAGGCAGTTGATAACTGCCAGATTGCCCTGGGCCCACCCCTGCCTCTGACACAGAGCCCTCGTCCAAGCCTTCCTCAGCCTGCAGGAGTGGCCCATGTTCCTCCCCAACCTCCTCACTCTCCGACTCTGCTGCCAGTTCCCTTAGCCGCCGGCGAGCCATTACAGGGCTGCCACCTGTACAATTCTAATTTTTGCAGCAATAGCCACCTCGTGACATCTGAATATGTTCCCTTGGGCCTTCTGTGACACCTTGTAGCTTTAAAACCAGGCCTGATCCTGAATCCCAGCTTTGAAATGATGCACTTCCCTACTGTCTTCTTGCTCCTACAACCTGTGGCTTTTTCGTTTCCTGCTTAGGTGCTGATCGCTTCCCACCTGCCCTCCTACGAACTCCGTCACAATCAGGTGGAATCCATCTTCCTCTCGGCCATTGACATGTACGGGCACCAGTTCTGCATCGAGAATCTGCAGGTAGGAAGATGACAGAGCTTTGGGTCGAATTGTAAAAATCAAGAACTTTTGTGATGATTTTTTCAGAAATCCTGCAGTGGGACCTCGGGTCATAACTGTAATCTGTTCCTAAGACTTTGGTCGCAACCTGATTTGGTCGCGAACAGAAGCGAGACTGACTGCGCGTGTGCCTACAGTTCTGTCCATGCGCGGAAGGGGAAATCGCCACGGCTGTATTTGATCGACACCCGAAGATCTGTTTGCGGAACATCAAATAGAATTTAAGCCCGAACTATTCGTACTGGGAATAATTAAAGGGAAATTTAGGAAACAAATCCAAGACATCATATTGCATATAATAACAGCAGCAAGGATAGTCTTCACGCAGGGTTGGAAATTAGAAAACATACTGTCCGAAGAGGTGTTAATACAAAAAAATATTAGAATGTACCGAGATGGACAAACTTAACAATAGAACTAAAAGGCAAGGAGGAATCAGAATACTACGCGGTATGGGATAGATGGTACAAGTGGATAGGACATAGGAATAAGGAGTAATGTATACAAATAAATGTAAATATATGTAATATTGATGACACAATACTGTTAACAATGTAAATAGAGACGTGTAATTTTGAAAATAAATAAATAAAAGATCTGTTTGCGACCAGAAGCAACAATTTCCCCAAATTTTGGGTTGTCACTCAATTTGGCCGCAAACAGAAGCGTTTATGACCCGAGGTTCCACTGTACAGGTAGTCCTCGATTTACCACAGTTCACTTAGTCACCGTTCGAAGTTACGACATTGAAAAAAGGGACTAGTGACCATTTCTCACACTTACGACCATTTCAGCATCCCCGTGGTCATGTGATTTCCATTCGGATTTTTGACAACCGACTCTCGTTTATGACAGTCGCAGTGTCCCTGGTGTCAGCGATCCAGCAAACCTCCACTCCAACCAATAACTCCGGGACAGACATCTTCTCAAATGTTCTTTTTATTTTGGATAGTAAACTGGCATAACTGGGGAATCCCGAATCTGACAGTTCCGGGCTTTCTTGCAATAAGTAAAAACTACAAATCCATCCCCTGCACCCATCATCGCATCACATGCCCCAATCACCATCCGTTCCAAGTTAAGATTTCCTCTCTCACTTATGTGCAGAATAACATGACCTTGACTTAGAAAAAGAATGCTGTTATGTCTAACAAGATATACTCCAATAAATTCCCCCCTCCTACTTTCCCAGGCTCAAAAAGTGGCGGCGTGGGAGCATCTGGTCTCAATATGGCTTCCAAAGCTGACACCTGGGTCATGTGATCTCCTTTTGAGACCTGACAAATAAAAGTCCAATAGGGAAGCCCAATTCACTTAACAACTGGGCGACTAACTTGTCAACTGCAGTGATTCACTTAACGACTGTGGCAGGAAAAGTCATAAAATGAGGCAGAACTCGCTTAACAAATTTCTCACTTAGCAAACAGAAATTTTGGGCTCAGTTGTCGTAAGTCAAGGACTAATTATACTGTGTAGAGTTAACTCTTAATTTTAGCTACAATTTTCAATGGGCAGCCATGTCTTTCCTTCACTGATCCCCATCCTTATTTTTATTTATTTATATCCCAGAAACAGTCATGTCAGAAAACCGCTCATAAGTCACTTTTTTCAGTCCTGTTGTAACTTTGAATGGTCACTCAGTGAAAGGTTGTAACTCGAGGACTACCTGTAGTTGCAAGAGTAAGTGAGGTGGCATTCTTAAGTGAATCAGGCCATCATTAAAGCCAATCTGGCTTCCTCATTGACTTTTTGCTTGTTAGGAGCCAGCTGGGAAGGTGACAAAAGGGAATCACACAACCCCAGGGATGTTGCAACTGTTGTACAATACATGTCGGTTTGCCAAGCCCCCAAATTTTGTTCAGGTGACCCTGGGGATGCTGTAACAGTGGTAAGTGCGAGGACAGGTCGTAAGTCAGGGCCCTTGCAACTTCAAACGGTTGTGAGTTGAGAACTATCAGTGTGAATAAACATTTACAAGATCGTGAGAAAAACCTTTATATCTGACTGTGCTCATTCTTATATTATCAGTGTAAGCCAGTGGCCCCCAACCTTTTTTGTACCACGGACCGGTACCGGCATCACAAAATGATCCACGGACTGGTACCGGCATCAGCACGCACGACCAAGGCAAGGCGAGCCGAGCGACCGGCCAGCCAGCCGTCCCCTGCTTCTCCCCGCCACCTTCAACTCCTCCTTTGTACCTTTTTTGTGCTTTTCGGGCTCTTTCTTAATCTCCTCCTGAGTAACGCGAGACTCCACCGCCATCGGGACGGCTCTTCGTTCGAAGCCCCCCCCCTTCGACGAAACTAAGGCGCGAGGATTCCTTCAGCACCCAAACGCCCCTTTCCAACCGACGACCGACAAGCTCACCCGGAAGCACTTTCTCAAGCGCCGTCGAAACAAGATGGCGGCGCCCAAGCAAAATAAGCGGCCTGGTACAAAATGATCCACAGACCGGTACCGGTCCGGGGCCCGGTGGTTGGGGACCACTGGTGTAAGCCACTGGTTTTGAGGCAGAAAAAAATATATTGAAATTCTATGGTTAAAATGGGAAAAAAAAGTATCTTCTCTTTTTTTCCGCCCAGAAACTTATCCTTTCCGAGACTTCCATCTTTGATGTGCTCCCCAACTTCTTCTACCACAGCAACCAGGTGGTGCGAATGGCAGCTCTGGAGGTGAGTAGCGATAGCACTGAGACTTATATACCACTTTATAGTGATTGATAGCGCTCTCTAAGTGGTTTACAGAGTCAGAATATTGCCCCCAACCATCTGGGTCCTCATTTTACCCACCTCGGTAGCACGGAAGGCTGAGTCAACCTTGAGCTTGGTGAGATTCGAACTGCCAAATTGCTGGCAGTCAGCAGAAGTAGCCTGCAGTACTGTACTCTAACCACTGCGCCACCGCGGCTCATAAGTAAATTTTTTACTCATGAGTAAAAACCATAGGGGTGTGGAGGCTCAGTGGCTAAGACGCTGAGCTTGTCAATAAGAAAGGTCAGCAGTTCGGTGGTTGGAATCCCTAGCGCCGCGTAACAGAGTGAGCTCCTGTTACTTGTCCCAGCTTCTGCCAACCTAGCAGTTTGAAAACACGTCAAAAATGCAAGTAGAAAAATAGGGACCCCTGTGGTGGGAAGGGAACAGCGTTCTGTGCACCTTCGGCAATTTAGTCATGCCAGCCACTTGACCACGGAGACGTCTTCGGACAGCGCTGGCTCTTCGGCTTTGTAATGGAGATGAGCACCGCCCCCTAGGGCCGGAAACAACTACATGGATGTGCAAGGGGAACCTTTACCTTTACCTAAAAACCAAACTTGTCGACTCATAAAATATTTCTATGGTCTTTTTAGAGTTGCCAACAGAAAGGGAGGAGGGAAAGGGGTTTTGAAAGCAGTGCGGCAGCTTGGAAATCAAAAGTGCATTTCATAAATAGTTTTTTAAAGATAGTAACTAGGTGACGGAAGTTTCTGCCATGCAAAAATCTAACTGGAGAGCATGATTGATGACTCTTGGCTACGGATGGGTCCCATTGGAGAATACGAATTATGATACACCCAGGGGGTGGGGGGAAAACCAGGGTCAAGGGTGACAATGAATGATGTGTCTCAGAGTCGGCTACACCCAGGCAGTGCTGGCATGTTAACTCCCAATAAATCCTTTTGAAGTTTTGGAAATTTGGCTCGAGATTCATGATTTAATTGGGGCAATTGCCGGAATCCTGACACAGACATTTTCTTTGATTGGTGAGCCTGTTCTTCTTCTCGATTCCACCATGCGCCTGAGTCACCTTTTCAGGCTTTTTTAATCGGAAGGAAAGCTTGTGTTTGCTTCAAAGGCTTCCATCCGGGGATCCAGGCCAAAACCACGTCATTAAACCAAACTTGCCCAGAGATTCTGTATCACCAGTTTTGCCCTACAACTGTCACCGATAGTATAGCAGGAAAAGATCGATTCCCCCACCCTCAAAGCTTTTTTGAGAATACAGGTTGTCCTCGACTTACAACCACAATTGAGCCCAAAATTTATGTTGTTAAGTGAGACATTTGTTAAATGAGTTTTGTCCCCTTTTACAACTTTTCTTGCCGCAGTTGTTAAGTGAATCCCCTGCAGTTGATAAGTTAGTAACCTGGTTGTTAAGTGAATCCGTCTTCCCCATTGACTTTGCTTGTCAGAAGGTCGCAAAAGGGGATCACGTGACCCCCCTGGGACACTGCAGCCGTCATAAATGTGAGTCAGTTGCCAAGTCTCTGAATTTGGATCACATGAGCATGGGGATGCTGCAAAGGTCGTAACTGTGAAAAACCGGTTATAAGTCACTTTTTTCAGTGCCATTGTAACTTTGAACGGTCCCTAAATGAATGTTGTAAGTCGAGGACTACTTGTATATGTTCGTTTAGTTTTCGAGACAGCCCCTCAACTGATATTTTCAAGTCATTTGCGCATAGCTACTAGCTTTTAAAAAGAATGATTTATTTAGTGATTGGTCCAAAGTCACACAGCTGGTTTTCATGTCTAAGGCTGGACTAGAACTCTCAGCCTCCTGGTGATTGG